GGTTGCCCCTCTTCCAGGCCAGCTCTCTGCTGTGGCCCAGAGAGTGCAGTGGAGGATGGCCCAAAAGCTGGGCCTGCACCCATGGAGACCAGTAGAAGCACCTGGCTCCTGCCATCGGATCAGTGTGGTGCGCCGGCTGCAGCGCGCTGGCCGTGGTAGCCATTGGAGGGTGAACCAACAGCAAAGGAAGACCTTTCTCTCTGTCTCTCTCTCTCTCACTGTCCACTCTGCCTGTCAAAAAAAAAAAAAAAAAATTACCAACCCAAATGCCCATCAACAGTAGACTGGATAAAGAAATTATGGGACATGTACTCTATAGAATACTATACAGCATTCAAAAACAATGAAATCCAGTCATTTGCAACAAGATGGAGGAATCTGGAAAACATTTTGCTGAGTGAATTAAGCCAGTCCCAAAGGGACAAATATCATATGTTCTCCCTGATTGGCGACAACTAACTGAGCACCAAAGGGGAAACCTGTTGAAGTGAAATGGACACTATGAGAAACAGTGACTTGATCAGCCCTTGTCCTGACTGTTGATGTACAATGTAATACTTTATCCATTTTAGTATTTTTTCTTTGTTTTGTTCTAGTACTATTGGTTGAACTCTGTAATTAACACACAATTATTCTTAGGTGTTTAAATTTAACTGAAAAGTGATCCCTGTTAAATATAAGAGTGGGAATAAGAGAGGGAGGAGATGTACAATTTGGGACATACTCAATCAGACTTGCCCCAAATGGTGGAGTTAGAATCATGCCAGGGGATTCCAATACAATCCCATCAAGGTGGCATGTACCAATGCCATCTCACTAGTCCAAGTGATCAATTTCAGTTCACAATTGATCACACTGATAGGTCTAAGAGTCAAAGGGATCACACAAACAAGACTAGTGTCTGCTAATACTAACTGATAGAATCAAAAAGGGAGAGAACGATCCATCATGGGAAGTGGGATACACAGCAGACTCATAGAATGGCAGATGTCCTAAATAGCACTCTGGCCTCAGAATCAGCCCTTAAGGCATTCGGATCTGGCTGAAGAGCCCATGAGAGTATTTTAGGCATGGAAAACCAAGACACTCTGGAAAAAAAAGACCTAAATGAAAGATCTCTGCGAATGAGATCCCTGTGGAAAGAACGGGACCATCAAAGAAGGAGGTACCTTTCTCTGAAGGGAAGAGAGAACTTCCACTTTGACTGTGACCCTGTCGGAATAAGATCAAAGTCGGCGAATTCAACAGGCTTCCATAGCCTTGGCAACTCATGACTAGAGCCTAGGGAGATTACTGACGCCATAAACAGGCGTGTCAAATTGTTAAGTCAACAACAGGAGTCACTGTGTACTGACTTCTCATGTGGGATCTGTCCTTAATGTGTTGTCCAATGTGAAGTAATGCTATAACTAGTACTGAAACAGTATTTTACACTTTGTGTTTCTGTGTGGGTGCAAACTGTTGAAATCTTTACTTAATATATACTAAATCAATCTTCTGTTTATAAAGATAATTGAAAATGAATCTTGATGTGAATGGAATGGGAAAGGGAGCGGGAGATGGGAGGGGTGTGAGTGGGAGAGAAATTATGGGGGGAGAGAGCCATTGTATTCCATAAACTGTACTTTGGAAATTTATATTTACTAAATTTAAAAAAATTTAAATAAATTTATTTAAATAAATTCTCTTTAAATAAATCTCCAAAAAATAAAAAACAATTAAAAAATAAAAGGCAGAGTTACAGAGAGAGAGAGAGAGAGAGAGAGAAGAGAAAGTTCTTCTATCCATTGGTTCACTCCCCAAATGGCTGCAATAGCCAGGTTCAGGCCAGGCGAAGCCAAGAGCCAGGAGCTTCTTTCAGTTCTCCCATGTGGGAGACTACTGCTTTCCCAGGTGCATTAACAGGGAGCTGGATTGGAAGTGGAGCAGCTGGGACTCAAACCAGCACCCATATGGGATGCTGGCATCACAGGCCTTGGCTTTACCTTCTTCACCACAACACTGGCCCCAGTCAATACATCGTATGTTGCATGATAGGGAATAAGAGAAAAAGCTACACAAATGTATTAATAGCAGAATAGGAGGAAAATATTTATGATAATATTCAAAGTCCTCATTTTTTAAAAAGGCTTATTTATTTATTTGAAAGACAGAGTTACAGAGAGAGAGGGAGAGAGAGATCTGCATCCTCTGGTTCACTCCCCAAAAGGCCACAGTGGCCAGGGTTCGGCCAGGCTGCAGCCAGGAACCTGAAGCTCTATCCAGATCTCCCCCATAGGTGGCAGAGGCTCAAGCACTTGAGCTGCCTTCTGCTACTTTTTGAGGACCTGCATTAGCAGGGAGCTGGATCAGAAATAGAGCAGCCTGAACTGGAACTTGTGCTCATAAGGGATGCTGCTGTCACAGTTGGCGGCTAAGTCTACTGCACAATGCTGGTCCCAGAGTCCTCATTTCTATTACTCTTCAATTTCTCCTTGTCCATCAGAATCAGCAGAGCATGAAGTCATGGGTATAGGAAGCAAACATTTTATGAGTGCATCTCTAGAGGTAATAGTGAGTGATGCCACTACTGTTTCCACCCTTTGGTTTCTGGACCAGTGAATCATGGCCATAAGTGAAACTGTCTTGTGTATTGAGATTCAGAGTGTATACAGCCTTCCAGAGAACCCCTCCCCAGTCCTGCAAAGTATTGCCATCTATCTGGGCAGTAGCTTAGTCTTCAAAAGATCATTCCACTATTCTTTCTCAAGCCAGTGACTTCATGATGGTTGGGAACATGGTGATAGATTGAATTTCATAAGCATGTGCCCATTGCCACACTTCTTTGCTGTGAGTTCTGATAAAAGTGAGTTCTTTTTATCAGAAGAAG